GACAATCATGTAAAATTGCTTTCATCTCCTCCTTAGGGACACATCGGCGCACCAACTGATCTGGACATCAATTAGTGTTTGGCCAAGACGTAAAAAAAAGTGTTTCTAAGTGTATTTTTCTCAAAAGTGCTTCCGGAGAAAAGCTATTTTTTTTTTCTGTTTCTCCAAAATTGCTTCTGCTTTTACTCAAAAATACTTTTTCTCTTCTAAAAGTTTGGTCAAACACTTCAACTTTGAAAAAAAAGTAAGGGCCCGTTTGGCCATAGATTTTGCCAAAATAAATTTGAGTTTTATTTGGCAAACACATGTTTGACCATAGATTTTGCCTACACTTTGGCAAAATTTCAAATCCCAAAATTAGCTTAATAGCTGATTTTGGGCCAAAATATCACTATTACATTTTTTAAAAATTGCCTCAGAAATTTGTATTTTATAAAAGAGCCCACCATTTATTATTTTGTAAAAATATTGTTTCGTCTTCTCGGTCACCTGATAGTGTATCATGTAGTTCATTATAAAAATGATAATTTTGTATCAAATTTATTTATGTTTAGGATTATGGTTTGCGATAATATAATGAATGTTATTGATAATGGTATTGTTGGGTATTTGTGATAGTTTTTAGAACTTGTGAGTATAAGTCATGTTTCATGTTTTTCCAAAATAAATTTGGGAAATATGTTTTGAAAACTGATGTCCAAACATATTTTCTTCTTCAAACAAAACTTCACCCAAATTAAATTTTTCAGAACAAATTTAAAAATCTATGGCCAAACGCTAGCTAATTCTTTAGGAAAAAAAGTATTTTTAGCCTTGGAGAAACTTGGCCAACAGGCCGTAACAAACCAAAAAGGGCCGGGACACAGGGTTGATATTTGTAGCAAATGATCAGTGCTTCAGACTAATGAACTGTTTGGCTGATAAAAGCTTTGGAGTATTTCAACAATTCTAGCCAATTGTGCTCCAGAAATTCAGGGCTTTGCCAAAAGATATGAGCAGTCACTAAGTATTTGTCGATTGCATTTGCTGACATTTCATTCTTTTTTGTTAGGCAAAATTAACAGCAGCCAGCATGGTACTCATTATATGTTATTTTATATTGAACTTTTCTCGCCTTTTGATCAATCACTTTCCCATTTAATTCCAGCTAATCTGTAAATTAAGGTTAAAAAAAATAGAAGCGGAATAGGGGGAAAAAAAAAGTTGTTCGAGTTTACCATATGTGTTTGCCCGTTGAGAAAATTGTTAAACAGAAGTTGCTGATGTATATTGAAAAATAAGGGGTTCATCTGAATCTGTCACTACAATTAATGTCTGAAGTATGTAAAAATAAAGATATGAATAAATACATACAGAAATAAATAGACTCAACAAATTAAAGCAAGCTTACTGTTACGCGACGGCTTCCTGAAATTTCTTGGAAGGGCGACGTAAGGCTAAGCAATCGATATCAGTATTATTACTGTCCGCCAACTGAGGTCCTCTCCTTACGCTAGACTAGATTGTCAGTGTCGTACGGGAAAACCAATTGTCATGAGCAATTGAGAGAGAGCAGAAAAGAGAATTGAGAATAAAAGAAAGCTTAATTTCATTGAATGAAATCTATTATAGAAAAACAACACGATGTCGGGGGGAGAGACACCCATACAGAGAATTGTTTACTTGCTTGAAAGTTTGTTTGCTTGGTCCTCCTTAATAATGTTTAAAAAAATAAACCAAAGTTACATGACTTGACCTAAATAAGCTGTAAAAGCACAATGAAAGAAAATGCAGTAAAACTACTCTATATTTACAATGAAAAGGACTTAGTCTTCTACAAAGTAGAACCAAGTCCGTTGGCAGTAACTTTGTCTTCAGCATTAGGGTCTGCGCATACGGCGTCGTCTGCTCGCGCGGCGCTGTTGGCATTTGCCTGTGGCTGGCCGCTGGTGATGGCTATTGTGGGGCGACAGAGGCACATACGCGCTTGTCACTTTTAGCTGCCGAGACCACGGGGCCGACCATGGCACTAGGCGTTGAGAGGCTTGCTAGGACGCCACGGGGNGGGTCATGGGGCATGGCTGGAAAGCCGCCCATGACATTCTCCCCCACCTGAGTTGGCGACGTCCTCGATGCCTTACTTGCAAGATAATCATCAATTAAGCTCTTGTAGGATTTGAGGTTTGTTCCCCTCTCCCAAGTATTCTCCTCTGCATCACATCTCTGCCATTTCACCAAGAACTCCTGGTGATCTTTCCTTGAGACATGAATCACTCGATCATCAAGAATAGCTTCAGCACGCCTTTTTTCGGTTGAATTGGGGCCTCGAATACTTGGTATTGTGAGTTGGCTTCGTGAAGGATCCTCCATATCTTCCCGAAAAGGTTTCAGAGGACTGACATGGAAAACGGGATGGATTTTCCACCAAGCTGGGGTATCCACCTGGTATGCAACTTTCCCAATGCGCCTTTCAATGGACAAGGGTCCAATATATTTTTGCAATAGGCGAGGGTCATGGACCCCTGCAAACAAGTACCTCTTTGGGATTTTGACCATCACTTTGTCCCCCACTTGGTATTCAACAAAGCGGCGATTCTGATCAACATGCCTCTTCATCCGATTTTGAGCTTTGATAAGATAGCTCTGCACTATCTCCAAATTTTGCTTCCATTCTTTTGAGAAGCTAGCAGCCCGAGGAGATTTTGACATGTTTGGTGCATTCACAGTATGTGGGAGTAGCGGTTATTGTCCGATAACAATTTCAAAAGCGCTTTTGTTGGTACTTAAGATCTTTTGTGAATTGAAACACAGTTGAGCAGCATCCAGAAGCTTCACCCAATTCTTCTGCGATCCGGTTACAAAGTGCCGGAGATATTCCTCCAGCATGCCATTGAATCGCTCCGTCTGGCCATCAAATTGTGGATGTAAACTTGAGCTGTGACTCAATTTTGACCCAAGGCACTTAAAGAGTTGGGTCCAAAAGTTGCTAGTAAAGCGTGAGTCGCGATCACTAACGATGTCTTTAGGCAGGCCCCAATATTTGACGACATGAGAGAAGAAGAGTCGAGCTGTATCTTCTGCTGATATATATTGCGGGGCTGCTATAAATGTAGCATACTTGGAAAACCGATACACCAGAACCAATATAGTTGTGAGATCTCCGACCTTGGGCAATCCGGTGATGAAGTCCAGGGAAACGCTTTCCCAAGGTCTTTTTGGGACAGCTAGTGGTTCCAAGAGTCCTGCCTGCGTCAAGCAGTCTGACTTATCCTTCTGGCATACTAGACAAGTCTTCACATACTGAGCAACGTCATCGGCCATTTGAGGCCAATAATATGCACGGCAAAGCAATGCCTTTGTATGTTCTTCACTGGGATGACCAGCCCACAAAGTATCGTGACATTCCACCAGAAGAGCCCTTCACAGATCACCTCCTTTAGGAACATAAAGCCGGTTCCCTTTCACTTTCAGGAACCCATCTTCTGTGTAGAACTGGCGAGTCTTGCCTTGTCCTACCAAATCAACCTAATATTGTGCAGTAGGATTCTTGATGAGTAGATCCAATATCTGGTCTTTTATGGTGGTGGTTACTTCGCTCCCCCTTAGGGTGGCGAGTACACACACCGATGCTAGATCAACTCTCCAACTGAGCGCATCAGCAACATGATTGGTCTTCCCACTTCGATACTCCAGGTTGAAGTGAAATTCCGCTAGGAGTTCCTGCCACCTGGCCTGTCGCCCATTCAGCTTTGGCTGGGTCATGAAATGGCTAACAGCTGTGTTGTCTGTCTTGACCACGAACGGGGTTCCTAGTAGATAATACCTCCAAAGGCGTAAGTAATGAACGACAACCAATAATTCTTTCTCGTGGGCGGCATAGCGCCGCTCTGCATCCTTCAGTTTTTGGCTCTCGTACACTACGGGATGCCCTTCTTGTAGCAAGACTCCACCAGGTGCATAGTCGGAGGCACCCGTTTGTACCTCGAATGGCTTGGCCAAATCAGGAAGGGCCAAGACGGGGCTACTAGACATAGCCATTTTCAATGCGTTGAAGGCCTCTACTCGTTTGGGTCCCCAATTTCAGTGTGTGACCTTCTTGAGTAGTTCTGTCAGCGGCACTGCAATGAGGGAGTAACTTTTCACAAATCACTGATAGAAGTTGCATAGGCCAAGGAACGACCTCAAGGTGTGGATATCCTTAGGCGGCGGCCAATCTGTGATGGCCTGAGTCTTTTATTGGTCCATCCTGATCCGTCCTTCCCCGATGACATGTCCAAGGAAGTCAATTTGTTTCTGAGTAAAGGAGCACTTGGATAGCTTCGCATAAAATTCGTGCTCCCGCAATCGGTTTAGGACCTTCCGCAAGTGCTCCAGGTGTTCTTCCATGGTCTGGCTATATACCACAATGTCATCCAAGTAGACCACGACGAATTCGTCGATGTATTCTCGGAAGACTTGGCTCATCAGGGTACAAAATATGGCTGGCGCGTTAGTCAAGACAAATGGCATAACCAGGAAGTCGTACGACCCATATCTTGTCACGCAGGTCATCTTGTGTTCATCACCCTCTACAATCCGAACTTGCCAATAACCTGTCCTCAGGTCTATTTTGGTGTACACCGTCGCACCGCCCAGTCTATCAAACAAGTCTGCCATTAGCGGAATAGGGTACTTGTTCTTCACGGTGATTTTGTTTAGAGCCCGATAATCCATGCAGAGTCGTAGACTGCCATCATGTTTCTTTTGGAATAGCACAGGGGACCCGTATGGGGACTTGGAGGGTACGATGATCCCTGCGTCTAGCATTTCCGTCAATTATCTCCGAAGTTCGGTGAGTTTGGGTTGTGACATTCTGTACGACACCCGGGCAGGTAGCTTCGCACCCGGCACCAACTCAATCTCATGGTCCACAGTTCGCCTAGGCGGGAGACGCTTTGGCATATCTTGTGGCATGATGTCTTCAAATTCCAGTAGCAGCTCCTTCACGGGTGCAGGAATGGGACCCGAGGAGCGCTCTATATCTTCAATGTAGAGGGTAGCCAGGAACGTAGATTCATGTCTTCTGACCCCCTTCTTCATCTGCAAGGCCGAGATATTCTCAACGGCCATCTTCATGGGCATGCACGGGATAATACAGAGCTTGGCCCCGTTTGCTCCCATCATCATTAGCATGTCTGCATATAGTACGGGCATGTTGTTAGTTTGCCTCAGGAATTCCAACCCCACTATCAACTCGAAGTCATCTATGATCACCACGCGCAAGTTGAATATTCCTTCATAAGGGCCAAGCTTCACTAGTACTTCTTTTGATATTCCACCCACTGGCTGAGGAGGTAAGTTGATAGCCTTGACACGACCTTTGCCCTTTCCTACATCTAGGCCAAGGCACTCCACCTGAGTCGAGGCTAAGTAGTTATGGGTAGCACCCGTGTCTATCATGGACCGAATGGGCTTGCCATTTACCTTCATGTCGACGAGCATTAAGGTCCTCTCTTGATTAGGAGGAATCCTCTCATTCGCCTTCTTTTTCCCTTTCTTGGCGATTGGGCAGGGGTCCTTCTTCTTACGGATACCAGCACTGGTTCCCGCTAAGGACTCACAAATAGAGCCAACAATTGCATTGAATGCACCTACTGGTTCAGTCTGGTCTGCATCATCTGCGTCGTCATCAGTCAAATCATCAAAAGCTTGATGGGCGTTCATCTGTGCATGTGGGTATTCATTATTCCAATGTGGTCCGCCGCAATCACGACATCCTGAGGGGGGTTTTCTTCCCCGATCGTTGTTGTTAGATGCAGTGCTGGTACTGCCTGTGGAGGGAGCCTTAGATTTGGTTGTACTCCGGTCTCCTCCACTTCTGCTAGGGACACCAGTGTTTGATTGGCCCCCTTTGTATCCTCCTCGGACAGGTTGTTGAGGCCTGTCCTTCCGGGCTTCCACTTGATAATCCCCAAGGTACTCTGCTGCTTGGATCGCCTTAGGTAACGTGTCTACCCTTTGTCTCTGCAACTCCATGTGGGCATAAGGTTTCAACCTTTCTAGGAAGGTGAAGAGTTTGTTTTTATCCCCCATGTCGCGTATATTAAGCATGAGCGCAGAGAATTCCTGCTCGTAATCCCGCACTGATTTGGTCTGGCAGAGCTCCCGGAGCTTTCTCCGTGCATTGTACTCAATATTTTCGGGGAAGAACTGTAGGCGTATGGATGCCTTCAGCTCTGCCCATGTCTCGAGGGCATCTTCACCGGCCTTGATGGCTTCGTATTTTACCCGCCACCAGAGTTTTGCATCACCCTGAAGATACATGGCAGTAGTTGCTACATTCTTAGCTTCTTCTAGGCTCCCACGGCATCGAAGTATTGTTCGATGTCGAAAATGAAGTTTTCCACTTCTTTGGCATTTCGAGCTCCACTGTATGGCTTTGGCTCAGTAATTTTCTGTTTTTGTACCATAGGGGCGAGGTTCACACCACCCCCAATTTGGTTTCCACCTCCTCGAAGTAGACCTTGTAAAGCAGCATTGACAACGTTGAGCTGGCATGTCAAGTTGTCTATAGTTTGTTGCATGGCAGTCACCCTGTCTGCCTCTTGTTCCCTGTTGGCTAAATCCTCGGCACGCTCCTGCTGGAGGACCTCGAATTTACCAAATATTTCGGTTGCCTCTGTGACTGCCGTTTGTCGGTCTCCTTCAGAGTCGCGACTGATGTTTTCTATGTCAACTTCGGTCTGGACCAGTATGCGATCCAGGTCGTCCAACCTTTGCTCTAGGCTGGTCTTTAGGTTAGGCATAATTTCCACGATGGGCCGTAATGCGTCAACCGTCCCCTCAAGGGTCGCGATGCGATCCCCACATGGTCAGAAATGGTGGTAATTGCAATGTAATCCTTCGTCCGATGTTGAGCCTAGGCTCTGATACCAAATGTTACGCGGCGCCTTCCTGAAGTTCCTTGGAAGGGCGATGTAAGGCTAAGCAATCGATGTCAGTGCGATTACTGTCCGCCAACTGAGGTCCTCTCCGTACGCTAGACTAGATTATCAGTGCCGTACGGGAAAACCAATTGTCATGAGCAATTGAGAGAGAGCAGAAAAGAGAATTGAGAATGAAAGAAAGCTTAATTGCATTGAATGAAAGCTATTACAGAAAAACAACACGATGTCGGGGGGAGAGACACCAGTACAGAGAATTGTTTGCTTGCTTGGTCCCCCTTAATAATGCTTAAAAAAATAAACCAAAGTTACATGACTTGACCTAAATAAGCTGTAAAAACACACTGAAAGAAAATACAGTAAAACTACTCTATATTTACAATAAAAAGGACTTAGTCTTCTACAAAGTAGAAACAAGTCCATTGACAGCAACTTTGTCTTCAACATTAGGGTCTGTGCACACGGCATCGTCTGCGCGCGCAGCGCTGTTGGTATCTGCCTGTGGCTAGGCGTTGGTAATGGCTATCGGTAGGGCGACAGAGACACATGTGCGCTTGTCACTTGGAGCTGCCGAGACCACGGGACCGACCGTGGCGTTGGGCATTGGGAGGTTTGCTAGGACGCCATGGGAGGCGTCCAAGGGGTCATGGGGCATGGCTGAAAAGCCGCCCATGACATTACTAATGCTATGACATGAAACGGCGAGCCATTCTTCATCAATTACTCGCTCGCCTACTGTTATTATTTCTGTATCACTGGAATTATTGTCCTTTGATGTCCTCTGTTTTTTCATCACACAAGTGCATAACATCACGTTTCCTAAAAGGACCCTAAACATATAAATATTCAACTACCACATAGCTCAAATCTTTTACTGGTATTTAAACTCAAGCTTGAAGCCATTTACACCAGCAGAAACACACCGACTTAACCCGGTCAAGTGAGCCACCGCAAATTGCGCCTGCTCGTGTTGGGCAAAGAGAATGCTACTTTGGCAGTATTATTAGTAAATAAACAATTTAAACATGATTTGCCTATTAATAAAACATTACATCACTAATATCATTAAGGACTGTAATAGGCTGGTCGGGTTCTTTTGACCTTAATCAAAAGTTTCTAGTTCAAACAATGAGAAGAATCTTGAGATAGTGAGCATTTTACCTCGTTGGTGTGTGTATTTGGTAAGATTTAAATATTGATTGGTTCAACAAGAAAAAACACCAAATTCTGAAAATTGAATACACATGAGCGACTCAACTTTCAGCAAACATTATGCATCTCATTTAGTTCAGGTAGAGTATTACATCGCAGCTCTTGGAAGGGTTTCTCTACTTATTATCATAACATTTTTTATGAAATAAAACAAAGCTCCACTTGTTCACTCCGTTCACTTTCACGGAGATTCTAAAACAAACAACTCTAATATACTCCTGAAAATAAACATCTAAAGTAATTTTTTTATAATAATAATAATAATAAATTAAAAAAAAAGGCACTAGTTGATTTCTTATGCCGCCGGTATACAAAATTTGCCCAAAAGTTTCGGCAAGCCGGGGACAATGACAGTTTCATAAGGCCATTAAAGCATCAACACTGGAAAAATCTCCGATGTCTCTGAAATAATTATCCACTTCTAATGCACCCAAATCTTGAAATGAATCCTCAAACTTGACAATCTCATGGTCTAATAACAAGTCATTCGCGAAATCCCAAGACGATACGTCATCGTACGACGTGCACAAATCATTGGCAAAACTTGTTGTATCGTCAAATAATGTCTGTTCTGCAGCTTCGAAGTTGAAGAAATCATCTAAGAAGGGAACATCTGTCGGCAAGTAGTCGTGTGAATAATCTGGTATTATCATGCTTGTCTCGCCTTGGCACTCAAGGTGTTCGACGGTTTGCTCGCTGTTGTCCATCGAATAAAGAACTGGTTCTTCTTCCACCAATGGACAACAAACATCTCCTTTAGCTTCTTCGAGTATGGGTTCGGACCCACTTTGTTGTTCAGCTTCTTCACTGGATTGACTCGTTCTAAACCGCAAAACAGAGGTGGGAGAAGAAAGATTATGGGATTCATCGCCAGATTCATAGCCCGAATTTGAAGCCACATTGATCTCCTCTGGCTTCGTTGGGGGAGTGATGAAATTGGTTAAAGCGTCTGGCCCACGGAGCTTAATGGCCGCATTGTCATAAACCATGGCAGCTTCTTCAGCTGTGTCATAAGTTCCCAACCAGAGCCTCACACGACGAGCTGGGTCTCTGATTTCAGCGGCCCATTTTCCCCACGGCCTTTGACGCACACCCCTGAACTTCCTAACAGTTCCATCCGGCGGTGGCTGCGCTACCTTCACCTTCAATGCCTTTTGCTTCGGCGTTGAAGCTTCAGCTGCTCGTTTCTTGATGGCCTTGCCACTATTCAGAGATTTAACGTCATTGATTGGTGAGGTTTCAATACTGATTTCATTGATGTATCTTTTGACACGTTTTCGACCAAAAAGCTCTTCTTCGTCACTGGAAGAGTCGGTTGCGTCCGGGTCAGTAATAGATATTCGAACAGTCCTTGGAATAGTGGGATTGTACTCGGAAGATTTTCGGGTTTCAGTAATTTTCTTAGGCTTTACGAAGGATGGTTTAGTGACTTTTCTAATGGTTTTTTTGTGCTCGGTATATTTGATCGGACAGAGAATATTGTGATCCATTTTGAGAGTGTTACGTACGTTGGGTTAGCTA